GATATTTCCTGTTGGGACGTTAGCACACAGAGTGAAAAGGAAACAGCAGAGGCACTTTATCAACCCGCTGAGTACTGCCATTAGCATCAAGCTAGCAAAGAATGTTCTTTCTTCATAATGGAGGATATAAAGGAATCAAACTCACGGATAGTGTCTGGGCCTTTACTCAGCACAGCTGCAGAGGCTACCAGCTGCATCTCAAACACACCACACCATTTATCACTCTCTTCTTAGTTTAATCAAACTCAACACTTCCTGTTTCTGTTTCAAATTAAAAGCCTCTTATCATTTCAGCTGAGAGAATCCCTTCATTTTCTAAAAAGGCTTTTATTGTGAAACATTTGCAGGAACTTCCTGTGGAGGATTCAGTGACTGTCATAGTTTGCATGCGGTACTTCAAATGTAGCTCCGCCCATCTGGTGACACTTTTTATGTTACCACAGTAACAGTTCAGCTCAAACATGAACAGACACAGTGACTGAAATAATAATAACAATAACAATAATAATAATAATAATAATAATAGGACAATAATAATCTGATGACATCACACGCGTTGTGAAAGACGACCAGCAATGATTGGTCGTGGACCGACACGCAGTCTGTCACGTCAGTTGGCCAAGTCACTCCACAATCAGCTAATCTGACACACAATCAGTTAAAAAAAACTGCTTTCCATGGCACCATCTGCGCTGAGATAGCAGCAATGGGTCTCTAAACAACAGCTACAGAATGAGGTGAAATAAATATTACATAACTAAAAAAGGACATTTGACAAAAACTAAAAAATATGTTGTAAATGTAAAAAATATCTGACAAAATTAACGTGACAACAAAGGAAGGAAGATGTGCCTCAGGTTGTGTTCAGGATCACCTGGGGTCCGTTTCACAAAGCAGGTTTAGTGAAAACTGAGGGAAACTCTGAGTTTTCCGTTTCAAAAAGGGAGGTAACTCAAACCAGAGAAAGAGGGGTAACTCCAGCCTGTTTCAGAGAGAGAGGTAACTTAAGCTCTCGGTCAGTTACCGTAGTAACAGACTCTATGAACCTAACCTGGTCGGGACCAGGTTTTTCTCAATGAACCTCGAGTTTCTCTCTGTCTCCGCCCTCTTTCAGAGCCACACACTCCATTTGATTTCCTCATTCATTCAGTCAGCAGGCGAGTTTTGGCGTAGCCTAGTTCTGCCGTCTGTCATTTTAATAAATCGTTAAAAAAAATCAGTATATTAGAAGTCCATTAGGCACAGTAGGTGGCGACTTTTTTCACTAACATGGCATGTCCTTTTGATAACGATCCCGTGGATGAAGGTGCAGCATTACTGCGCAGAGAATTAAATATTCGTCGGGAGATGGTTATCAGACCGCGCATAGATGTTTTAGCATTTCCACACAATTATCTTTTTGAGCGGTACCGTTTCACGTCACAGTCCATCATCTACATACACAACCTAATCCGTCCTTACATCTGCAACATTACCAGTCGTAGTCATGCTCTCACATCCCAGCAGATATTGTGTGTTGCGCTCATACTGTATAAAAATGCGCTGCGTTTCTTTGCAAATGGAAGTTTTTTGTACAATGTCGGAGACGCTGAGCACTTGAGTAAGGCAACTGTATGCAGGGCGGTCAGAAAAGTGTGCTCGTTTTACGGCATCTGCCTTCTTTCTGTTGGCTGAGTAGAAGTCTGTGTTAGTTTAAATAGGCTTAATTATTTAACAGAACATGATACAGATGAGAAGACATGTGTGAAAACAGCATTATGTTGGGGGTAAAACAACTGCACAGTCAAACAGCCACTTAATATTTACTTTACAATGTAAAACATGATCAAAATGAGGTTCCCCATGAGATTATGCCGAGGTCTTACCTGTTTGAACAATGTTTTTATATTTCATCCTAAACTGCTGCCAAGTGCGCTTCTCCTCCGCGGGATTGCACCTAAAAGAAATAAATTAATAGGCTACCATTCAAGCAGTTTTCCCCTGTAATATTATTGTGATTTCAAAGGACTACATTTAAACTTGCGCATTGACCCGAGCAGCAATGTTCTCTCACGCCGTCTCCCTCTCTTTTGCAGCTGCAGCGGTGTTGCACTTCTTTTTGAAAACGTGTGCAAACTCGCTGTATGAGCGCATTAAGATTTCTAATTCTAGTGGGGTGAAAAACGCAGCCCTCCTCTTCCCCGTTGCCATGGTGACTCGTCGAATCGGGGCTCCATTGATGCTGGCTTTTTATAGTTGTGGTGCACGCGCTTAACTCCAGGTGAAACTACTCCGAGTTGATTAAACTGATTCAAATCAGCTGTTCTGGAACTGGAAACTCAGAGTTTCCTATCTCAGAGTAGATCAACTCAGAGTTCAGGATTAGACTCAGAGTTTGTTGAACCTGCTTTGTGAAACGGAGCCCTGAGTGAGTCAGAAATCACAGCCATGTGGGTACGTCCAGTATAAATATGGATGTGACTCATTGTTTGTTAATAACATCTGTGGTGCTTTCACAGCTTTTTTTCACGAGGGAAAAAAAATATTTTTGCTTTAAAAATGACTCAGCATTTATTGGATTATCAGAATAGTTGATTTCCTGTCGATCGACCGATCGATAAACGGACTGACTGTCGCAGCTCTGCTGATATATTTGGTCTCTGTGCAGCCTGCAGCCCTTTAAAGGAGCACAGACCTCAGATCAGTGATTCACTGGCTCCGTCTCGGCCTGCTCAGTATTTACGAACATAAACAAGTTGTTCCCGTCCGGCAGGACTGATCCGAGGCTCAGCTGTAATCTGTGACAGCAGCCGCAGGGAACATCTGGCGTAGCTCCGCCGTCTGTGCGGTGGGAAATCCATCAGACAAAATCAAGAAACAACAAGTGTTTCACTTCCTGTCTTCGTCTCCTCTATGTCACTGTGAGAAAGCAGCAGAAGCTCTGGCTGCTGATTGGTCGCTGATTTGGGACCTGAGGCTTCGCTGCTCAGGCCAAATATTTCAGATATGAAGAAAACTGAAATAATGTGCAGTTTCTCACCATCAATCAGGGTTTAATAACTTCCTGAAGTCTGGAAACAAACAGACGTGTCAGATCACTGAGGGACAGAAAAACGACTTCTTATAACTGCTCATCTTCTGATTCGCTGCGACCGCGGTGCTGATCTGATGCTGCTGATCAGTCAGGGCTGCCACATGTTCAAGGACAAAATTTAAAAACTTCCAGGGCTTCACAAGGACACATCAGAAGAATTTCGACAACCATTCCCAACATACAACACAAGTACATAAGTCAGAATGGACAAGTGGTCTAAGGCGCTGTTTTCAAATTGTGTGGGTGGCGTGGGTTCAAATCCCACTTCTGACAGCAACAATTTAGGGCTCAGTTTACAGGGACTCGCCTTGAGAACTCGAAGGTCGTTGGTTCAATCCTGCGTCTGGACCAAGCATGGAGGGTGTAAGTGTCAGCCAACAGTGCAGTCAGCCCATTGGTTAATTAGTTTGGAGCAAAGAACGCTCCGCATCTTCAGACGTCCACATTCTTCCTTACCATGACATCAAAGTGCTCCTCATGCTAATGAATCGCCCTCAGCTGCCCACATCATCTCAACTATGTAGTTCTTTTAAAAGTATTAGTGGGGCAGAGGTATAAACTGGGATTCATCGCCCCACATGTTGAACCACGCCGTCACATACATGTAGCAAACATAGTCAAACGTCTCTGCTCTGCGTTCACAGAACCTGTTTGTATTGTCTGTACCGAGGGAACGTACGGAGTCCGGCAAACAAGCGTTTCTGTCTGCAGCTCCTGATCTGTGGAGTCTTCTGCAGGAGGACTTAAAGTTTCTCTCATTGGTTCCTCTCAGATGTTTAAAGCTCTGCTGCAGGATTTGTGTACACAGTCTTCTATATGTTAATGTCACAGTGTGTCTTAGCTGCTCTTTATATTTCAATGGCTCTCTTATCGCATTTACTGATGTGCTTTTTGGGTTTTCTTTGTAGTAAACTTATGTTGTGATGTATATTGCCTGTCTTAGAGCTCATTCATTCATTTATTATCCGTAACCACTTATCCTGTTTGGGGTCATGAGGGGGGTGGAGCCTATCCCAGCTGACACTGGGTGAGAGGCAGGGTTCACCCTGGACAGGTCACCAGACTTTCACAGGACTGACACATAGAGACAGACAACCATTCACACTCACATTCACACCTACAGAGGAAACCCACGCTGACATGGGGAGAACATGCAAACTCCACACAGAAGGGCTCCTCCACCCCGGGTTCAAATCAGGAACCCTCTTACTGTGAGGCGACAACGCTAACCACTGTGTGGCCCCACACGGCGGCACGGTTTTAGAGTAGTATATTTTTATTTTGTATTTTTGTTCAATGTTGTGTGTCTGTAACTGTAACTTTTAAAGTAACCCTTACCTAACACTGCAGACGGTAAGTCTGCAGTGTTAGGTAAGGGTTACTTTAAAAGTAATCAAAGTACTCTAACGCGTTACAAGATCTTATCTAAAGACTGAGACCAAAGCTAAAATAGCTGCCAAAATTAACACTGCTAACATAACTCTTTGCCTCAGTGCTAACCACCTTAACCTGGACACATCAGAGTGATGAGTACCAACCAATCACAGCAAAGAAGGCGGGACTAGGTGAAAGTGTCTTGGGATAAAAACTAGTTCCAGCATTATTTTTAACGTCTCCTGTAAACAGTGTGTGTTGTGTTGTGAGTTTCTGTGTTTGTTGGTTCTCTCTGTTTGCAGCTACGTGATGTCAGAAGATGTTTTCAGGTTGTGTGATGTTTAATGTGCGGAGTGATGAAGGTCTGATGAAGACAGTGAACGTACCGATGGGCAGAGCCAGGAAGAACGGCAGCCAGCAGAGGATGAACATGCCCACCACCACGCCCAGCGTCTTGGCAGCCTTCTTCTCTCTGGAGAACTTGAGCAGTTTGACAGTGAGTGTGCTGCGTGCGGCAGAGGCCCCGCCCCCTCCGGCCTTGGGGGTGGGGCACAGATCGTTCTGGTTCCTGCAGTGGATCCTCAGGGTGAGCTCGTTGGAGTCCTCTTGGCGCTCCTTCATCACGCCGGCCTCCAGGTTCTTGGTGGTGCGTTTGGCCACGATGTAGACGCGGAAGTACATGGCGAGGATGACGGCCGTGGGGATGTAGAAGGAACCGAGCGACGAGAACAGGGCGTAGAAGGGTTCCTCAGTGATGAGACAGACTGTGTCGTCCTGCAGGAGACCAGCAGAGATAAACTTTGATTATAAACAAACTTCTACAGAAATCTCTCCTGAGTGATCAGTTAGAGAGACGTCATTATATTTGGAGAATTCCTTCATTTATGATTCCTGATGACTAAATATTCTAAAACCAAAAGCCTTCACTTCTCACTTTAACTATTAAATAAAAGGTTTTGGTTAATATTTTAACTGGTTACACATGTTGGTTGGTGAAGGCTTCCTTCCACTCTACCCTGGTGGTGCCATCAGTTAATGTGATGGATGTTCGTTTCATTCGTATTTAAACATTAATGATTAAATAAATCCTGTAAATACTCATCATGCTGACCCCGTCTCTCTGAGGACAGGAGCCAACTAATGTGCTAACGATGCGTTGTTTCCCTACCTGTGACGGAGGCTGCTTCCAGCCCAGCAGTGGGCCGATGGAAATGACAATGGAGAGGACCCAGACGCCCAGCATGGCGAGCAGCGCCCGCTTCTCAGTGACAATCATCGGGTACTGCAGGGGGTAGCGGACGCCGATGTATCGATCGATGGAGATGACGCACAGGGACATGATGGACGCCGTGCAGCAGAGGACGTCCACCGCCGCCCAGATGTCACAGAAGATCCGACCAAACACCCAGTAATCCAGAACCTGTGGGGACAGGAAGTAGCTGAGAACACTTCAGAGGTTCTGCACAGGAGTGCCTCTTTTTGTCTTTGTTTGATAGGACAGATGAAGCATGATGGGGGCAGAGAAAGGGTGGAGGACATGCAGCAAGGGTGGTGGGTTGGAATTGAACCCACGGCCGCTGCAACAAGGATTCAACCTTTGCACATGGGACACCTGCTCTACCAGTTGAGCTAGTTTACATGCAGTGAGAAAAGAAAAATCAAAAGCATCAGGATGCGTTTGATTTTATTTCTTTTGATGGGACAGTAGAACAAAGACAGACACGGTCCTCCTGCTGGGGGCCGAGGGGACATTTTAGTAAAATACTTTCATTATAAAACTCTGTAAAACTGAAAAGCATCACTGATGACATCAATAATAAAATAAAACTCGTGCATGAAGGGGAGAGTTTCATTAGTTCCACCTTATCTATATGCTAATGAGCTCCGGTTTGTTTTCTCTGATCCTGGTGACCGGCACATCTGGGTGATGCTGTTCAACATGTTAGCATGTTGGATGTGTTTCCATTTACAACAGTGGAGAGACGCCGACACGCCGTCCTCATCTTCTACACAACTCTCACTATGTTGCTGTTGCAGCTAACGCGAATACTCAGGCCCTGTGTAGACGACAACGGTTTCTCTAAAAACGGAGAAGTCTGTCCTTTGCGTTTTAGAAAACTTCCGCATCTATATGACAACGTTATTGAAACGATCCCTGTTCACATGGAGCCGCAAAATCGAGTACAGTAAAGCTGCAGTACCGGAGGCTGCAGTTTCAGGACCGTTTAAATTGCAACCTGAAGTTTATTTTTAGTTTTTTGCTATACCCAAATACTACTTATTAAATAGTTATAATCAGTGTTGGGCAGTAACGTGTAATTTGATTGATGAAGCCCAGGTAACTATACATCACCATTGCCGGTCCTCGCTGCTCCTCTCACCCACACTTGAGCACCTGTTCTGGGATACACAATGATGTCGGCCCGCTTTGCCTGACCTCCGCGGTGCTCTCCACTCCGTGGGTGAGAGGAGCGGAGAGGACTGTGACGAGGTGGAGTTGCCACAGTAGATCTACACTTTGCTGCAGAAGCATTGATAAAGTCAACGGGGCGAGCAGCACAAACAGAGCTCAGCATTGTTGTTGTGATGGTCGACTTTCTCGCACACGCCTAGTGACTGTAACTGTAATGAGCATGTGCGAAAAGTCTCAGTTTTCAGAGGAACTGCATATTGCAAGTTTACATGACAACGGAGACGCTGCCGTTTCCAAAAAATTGCACTCTGGAACCCGTTTTCAAAACGTTGCGTTTTCAGGCACCCAAAACGCCGCTGTCATCAGCCAAAACGCAACTAAAGTTTACTGTTTTCAGTTGAAATTGTCGTATAAACAGGACCTCAGGCTCCATCATTTCATCTGTGCTCGTCATGGTGTGGCTGATTCACAGCCAATAGCTTGTTGTGCTAACCTCAGCACAGGCTCTGAACTCTGGTTCCACATTACGTGCAACAATCTACATATCGTGTGTTCTATGAAGTGCGGCAGACTTTAGAGCAAATTTGACACAGTGGCCATACAGTGGAATTACAACTTCCAGGTCCGGCACGTGATGACACGGGACCAAACAATAAGACTTAAGCCCAGTTCAGATCAAAGACTCACTTTAAGATTGGAGAAAAAAACGCCCCGGCTGCTTGTATTTCTTTCAACCAATCACAATTGTTCTGGGCGGTGTCACAGCAACGGTGCGCTTGCAAAAATATTGCCGGAGAGAAACAGGTTTTGGTGTAACACGCCCACAGAAATATCGCCTACAGGACGCGAACCATGGCAGAAAAATGGCTACATCCCCGCAAGATCAAACACCTCAAAAGTTAGTAAAGGACGTGTTGAAAACTACAACCGGAGGTGGGAGGGCGGGACTTCAGCGGGTGGCTCATTCCGCCCAATGAGAGGCTGATCTTTGCAGCGAACTTCCGCCAACTCAGACTAAAAGCGACCTGACTCTGACTTTTGTCACCTTAACTTCCGTTTGTGTCCTGCTGTGTTTCCCCCGATGCCACCGAGCGCCTTTAAACTGTAACGGCGACCGGCTGCGTTTCATGCCGGCTCTTTCGCCAGTGTCTGACGCCACAAGTCACTGGCCAAGTGCCGGATTTTGACGACTTTGGAGTGAGACCGGGTTGTCTAAATCACAGTAATGTAACAGGCTTTAACTGTGAGGTTACAGTTATATACAGTAAGTGTACAGCAGCATGCTGCTAAATCACAGTAATTTGCAGGTATAACTACAGTCACATCACAGTACACAGCTGTCAGATCACAACTATTTACTTTAAATATGATACAGAAACTTACAATTAAACTGATGCAACAAGTAGCCAGTAATTTACTGTAAATGTACAGTGAGATATTTCACAGTGTAGGCTACATGTTAGCACGAATACTATGGTGATAATACAGTTTACTCTCACAGTCTTGTCCACAATAATCCCCCTGCCTGTACACACCACACGGGAAGTCAAATACTGAGTTTTGTTGGTTTCTAAGCTTCATAATTCTTAAAACTAAAATATGGATTCATGCTGCAGATGAGCTTCTTTACTCTCATGTGTCTGTGCAGTCCGATGAGTCTTTGTCTACATGGAGAAAGTCATCAGAATGTCAAAAATCTAACTGTGATTAAATTAAACAAGTCTGATTTACACTGCAACTTATTTCCAAGAAGTTATAATATGTAACTGTAATATTTCATAATAAATGGCATTATTATCACCTCACAGGCTTTTACTGCGATATTTATCTAAAGTCAGAATTTTATTGTGAAAGTCTACAGGTATAAATACAGTAATTCTACTGTTAAATCACAGTAATGTGGTGGCATAACTACGGTGAGATCACAGTATACAGCTGTCATTTCATAACAATTTACCAATGATACAGTAATTTGCTGTGAAAGTGATGCAACAAGTAGCGACACTGTGCGACTGTACATTTAAAGTAAATTACTGTATTATATTGACAGTAAATAGCTGTGAGCTGACAGCTGTATACTGTGCTCTCACTGTAGTTGTACCTGCACATTACTGTGATTTAGCAGCATGCTCCTGTAAAATTACTGTATTTAACTGTAACCTCAGTTTATGTACATTGGATTACTGCAATTTACAGTAAATGCACCATTAAATATTTAATAACACTGTGTTCATGTATTTTTCACTCGCATCCATTGTCTTTTAGCTGCTCCCTGATTTCTTTTTCTTTATTTTTCCATCCCTACGTCTCTACTACTGATTATTTTTAAACATCAACACATTTAATGTATAAAATATCACCAAACTGTAAATGATCAGTTTCAGTTTGTCAGAATCCAAAGTGAAGTATTTAATTGTTCATTTACTTTACTTATTAAACGAAAAATAAAATATTTATGTCAGAAGAAGTGTAAATATTTAAAATGTATTTCTTTGATAATGCATTAGTGGATTAATTCTAATTGCACCTTATTTCATTTTCTCTCTCCTGTATTGATCTGACAACATTAAGGGTCTAATCTATGACCAGTAACTGCGGCTCTGACCTCCAGCGTGGCGGACACCGGCAGCACGGTGGTCCCCAGCAGCAGGTCCGCGATAGCCAGGTTGATGATGAAGTAGTTGGTCGGGATCCGCAGGTGTCGGTTACAAACCACCGACAGGATGACGAGGATGTTCCCCACGATGGCGAACATGATGAAGAAGGCCAGCACCATGCCCACCGGCACCGCCCGGCTCAGGTCCAGCGGGGCGGCGTGGTGCTGCGGGGAGCCGTCGGTGCGGTTGGAGGAGGAGTTGGTGCCCGGCAGCGGCGGCTGAGTCCCGGGGTAAAGATCCGCAGAGGAGCCGTTGGTCCACAGACTCATGCTGAAGGAGGTCCGGGTACAAACACGGGTTGTTTACGGGTTTTTATATTTTACATTAAAAACATGAATATTTAATTAAAACCAGTGAAAGTGTGCGCGCGCTCTTATTGAGGCAGATTTTGGCGCAGAAACAGCGGCAGTGTCTTAATGGTTAAAACATCCGAGTAATTGCCGGTAAAAATCCGTAAGAATCCGAGGTGCTGTGTGAGGTTAAAGCCCATGGCTGGCGCAGCTGCAGCAGGTGGAGCAGGTGGAGGCGCGGGTCAGCTCCGTGTCTCCGGGGCGGTCACTCTGACAGCCCGCTGCCGGCCCGCAGAGCTCCTCCTCGGGCGAAAGTGCGGCTGCGGGAGCGGGTCACGGGTCTGTGTGTCCTTTTATGGTCCAAGTGTTTCATGTGGGAAAGTTTCAGCTGCAGGAAGGAAAAAAGAAAAGAGACACAGAATCCATCTGTCTGTCTCTCAGGGGGACAGAGACACACTGAGACACTGTCTGTCTCTCTGTGGAATTTAATGCAGTGCGTCTAAAGCAGGTTGGACTGTACGGTGGCCGAGAGCTGCCAAAACCATCAGCACTAGATGGAAAGAAATAAAGACATGATTAAGTTCATATTTATTGTTGAATCTGTGTTTTGTATCGTCGCCTGTGTTTTTTCTGATTTATTTTTATTTTCAAAGACTTTCCCCGCCAGCAGTTTTTATCATATTCACTGATGGTTAAAGACACAGAATAATTTCTCCTATGAATATGTAAGAATATAAGAACAGACCTTCTGTTTTTATACACAAGAAACATTTTATTCAATCTTACTCCAGTTCTTTTTTATCAACACTTGAATTTGTGCATTTTCATTTAATAAAAAAACATTTTGGCCAAAAAGCTGAGAAAAGTGCATATTTGTCAGAGGACATCCTTTTCAAGCATAAAATCAATTTCACAGTCTCATTTTTTTTCTCATTTCCTTCATTTAAAATTGTATTAATAAAAATAATAATTGTGATGAAAGTAACAGTCTGTTGGAGGTATAGCCGGGGAACACGTTGTCATGTTCAGTGTTGTCTCTGTCTCCTCTGTGGTCGTCATGGAGATCCTGTTTCGTCCCACCAAACTCATTTGCTTCTTCGTCCAAATTGGATTCAGAATGTTGATCAAAACATCGTCTCTAAAATCATAAAGGTCATAAATGATTTTATCATTTTCAGACTTGACTTTTGCGACTCCATGTTCCTGCGTCACGTCTCGTTCAGACCAAACACCATGTGAGTTTTCGCGTCATGTTATTCACATGAGTTTGATCGCTAGAATATTTTATGATGACTCGCTTCATACGCGTGTGAATCACTGAATCAATGAATTAACTTTTGCCAGTACGTCTTTGGCGTCATATGTCCCTGAAGGATCTCACTGCTGATTGGCTGTCGTGGCTCAAACTGGATGCTGGAGTTCAGATCTCTTGCTGAACTCGTCTATTTTGCATCATTTGCATCGCGTCCATCACACCACCTGGCAGGAATTTGAATCTAATCGCGTCTTGACATTAACTTTACGTTGAATTCACTCGTATGAATTGTTTCCTTCGCGCCTGTCATGAGCACAACATCAGTCAGAAGCAACTCTCACGGCTACAACTGGTTCACAGCTCTGCTGCAGGACTTCATTAATAAAAGGGACATGTCACACCTGTCTGAGCATCGCTGCACCGGCCTCCATTTTAGAATTATTTTTAACATTTTATTTCTTACCTTTAAGGCCCTCTATACACTGTGCGATTTTAGCAATCTTATAAGACCAGTGCATGACACACTGTGAGATTTGGATCTAATAAACTTTGGTACGACGTCAAGTTTGATGTGTGCAGATTGTACGATGGCCATTTACTACTGAATCGCAGGTTACAACGTACGTCAATATGCAACGTCATCAGCGTGCACCGCATCAGCGTACGTCATCCATCTGCGCCACCATAGGTAGCTTGCTCACCTGGAAGTTGCAGTTCCTCCGCAGTTTCCTTCCATGCAGCGTCTTTTTCTGGCGGTCATGATAGCAGCTGGAGGAAACATCAAATAAACAAGGCTTCTGCTGCCACAGCTCCACCAAACTTTCCTCTCTCTGGGAGTTCCACACACTTGTTTTTGTTTGTTTTACCTCCATGGCAAGCGATCATTTGTTTGGGTTTAGCGCCGGTGTCGCGGTGACCATTGCGTCATTTCCTGCTGCATTTCTATTGGTTGATGAGTAGACGTAGGTCGTAGCAGCTGTCACACTGTGAGATAGTCATCCTAAATTTCTGACACCGTCAGAATTTTATCTCAGGTTATCTTTGGTCGCAAGACGTTGACAACAGCCGTCCTTGAACCTGTCTCACAGTGTTACTTAAGACCAGTGTTTTAGAGCCACGACCAAAGATATCACCACGTTTCTCCCACGATGGTCATCTTTTGTCTGGGACATCCCAGAATCGCACAGTGTATACCGGCCATAAAGCATGACTTGGACGAGCTCCTGATCATGGATCCCTCAGTGATCCTGAACGCGCTCTGAGATCATCTCGTCAGCTACTTCTTGCCCATCTCATAACTAGAGGAGATCAGGCCGTCACTGTCAGGGCTCCCAGACTGAGGAACGCACTTCCTGTTGCTATGGTCATCTGCGTCTGTATCCATCTTTAAAAAACATTTAAAAACACTTTTTTTTCATGATGGCATTTCTATAAGGTCCCAATGTCTGTATGTGTATATCTGTGTTTATGTGCTGAAGCTTGTGCGCACAGTGTGTGTGTGTGTGTGTGTGTGTGTGTTTGAGCATATTTACACACATTTCTGTATATTTATTTGTTTTACCACTTCATGTTTAACAAGAGGAGCTCATAGTTTATACTCCTGCTTCATTTCACAGTTTTTATTATCTTGTGCAGCACTTTGTCTCGTCTGTTTTGAAAAGTGTGATATGAATAAATGTAATATTATTATTATTATTATTA